ATAATATTATATTTATTATATTATAATAATAGAATATTAAAGGGTCATGAAACCCCGTTTTAGCACTGGTTAGTTCTCACCACAGTTTTAAAAAATGCTAAGTGGGCATGGTGCACTGCGGACAGTGCGGACTGTGGAGTGGAGCGGGAAGAGGAGAGACAGACAACTTCGGTTTCATTTAGCTCCCATCAAGTTAAAAACACAAATAAATGTACAGCCATTTGCACTCTGCATCGAAAACATATATATGAAGGTGAAACGCTGTTGCATATCTGATAACTTTAAAGGCTTATTCTGCGGTGTTTACATAAGCCCTTTTTGACGGGTTGCGTCAAGGAGCTGTAAAAACGGTTACACTCACTAATATGTAACACCGTCGAGAAGTTCTGTTGAAACGGGTGAAGATACGCACCGAAAGACGTGGTCCGGCAAAGATTGGCCGTGAATATGAAGATTTTGTAAAGCATGATTTCTCTGTGTCTGATGAACGCGTGGGAAGATTTGTGTCTGACGAGAAGCGGCAGACTGTGAAACTCTACGTTTTGGAATCTTACGAGGAATATACATCAGAATGTAACCACCTGCTTTTGACCGCCGTAGACTGGGCGTACTTTTACAATCAAATTTGGAGAGAATTTAATTACGGTGGAAAAATTTGGTACTTTTTCCAGTGGGACGGTGCCACACAGGGAATGAGGTACCGTGCTACCATGCCTTTTGAAAACATTTCAATATCAGTCTGTTTGAACAAAACGCTTCATGACCAAAATGATCTTATGATGGTAAATAAACGTCGGGAGGACTCTGAAACAAACTTTTTGTCTCAAAGCAGCGAGGAGTCTGACTCTGACTCTGATCGTGACTGGCCTATCCCTGAGGACAACCCTTTCGAATGCTGCAAAACGAGTCTATATTTCGAGCAGAGCGACGTACCTGTGTTAAACGCCATTTTCTCAACAATAAACAAACTGTTTCAGTCAAGTTAAATGATCGTGTCTGTGTATTCAGCATAATTACCGGTATAACAAACCTGAAAAACGGGTGTTCCTGAATTGTACCTGAAACGATTTGCCAACGTCTTAATAATTATTTTAAATGACAGAGGTACCTCGTAATCTTTAATCTAAATATGTTCCAGTGAAAAACGAAATCTCTTTGGTAGCATATGCGAGGCTAGGTCAATCCCTAACCAGGGCTCCTTCACCCTCCTCCGCTTTTGAGTGCAACGCCCCCATCTCAACGACCAGCTAACGGTCGAAACAAGACCTCTCCCCCCAACAATTTATTTAGCTCGAATGTACGGCTCTATACAAAAGATCCGTCACTGCTTCCTCATGTGGCCTGGACCGTCGTGGATTAAAACAGTCAATCCAGATTCAAGGAAACGGCTACAACATTATCGATTAGGAGACAACGTTTGTGAACAAACCGAATTCTGAAAAAGATGTCTGACACTACTGGCGCTGCTGTGGATGAGCAAGTGGAGTGCTTCTGCGCCGCAGGGAAAACGTGTCCTGGAAAAGACATCGTAAACTCTATATTCAAGTGACTGTAAGATAACGTTTTCTGCGATGGGGTAGTGAGGTAGAGGTTGTAAAATGTATAATTATCTGTAGATAAAAAACAACAACATGGGGTCTGTGTAATGTCCCCATTTAGACAGCTAAGCAAACGGGTGTGTGTGTGTGTGTGTGTGTGTGTGCGTGCGTGAGAGAGAGAGAGACAGAGAACTTAGGAATGCCCTCATTACAACCGTGACAGAAGCCAATATTTTTTCATCGTCACTGCTAGATCTGAAACATGTGAAAAAACACCTAGTAGGCTACTACCCAAAACATAACATAATGGTTTGTTCGAACTCTGTGAGAACATCTGTTTAAACAGATCAAAAATAGAAGTGACTCGCGATGCTTGCACGAGGAAGACTTTCTCTCCCTGAAAAATGTAAGGTAATTTATATTTTTATTGATTTATCCCTCAATTTCATTCATATGCTGAGAAACTTTTTATTCAGTATTATATTGTACTAGTACACACATATATTGTGATACGATCTCACGATCTGTTAGAATTGTTTATTCCGGATATGGGAATGCTCCATAATATCTTCAAAAACAGGACTTAATTTATCACCTGTCATCCTCGGTCGCTTACAAAAACATCATTTGTCATCCGGTTTGACAGCCGGATTTCACGCACGCCGGTTTTCGCATATGGAAATTATTATGGTGTCAAAGGTCGCATATGGATATAATTATGGGTCAAAAGGTCAAACTCATCAATCATGTTGACATAAGCTCCCGTTTACATACTACTAAACACTCTCCTTCGATCCATGAACACTTCTCTCAGTTAATGTACGTGGTCTCACAGTCTGAAGCGTCTGTCATAGCAAATAAACACATGCTGTTGTAAATAATTAAGCGAAGCGTGTTCTCATAGGATAAGAACACGCAGTCTCATGAATAATTATGAGACACCGACGTGTCAACGATGTACTGTAGTCCTCTGCAACGTCACAAATTGTGAAGCCAACACGATGTAGATTTTAAACCTGGAAGATGAAAATAGCGCAAAATTAAGCGAAGCCTCTTCTCATAGGACAAGAACACAGTCAGTTTCATGAATAATTTAATAGACACAGACGCGTCATCGATGTACTATAGTCCATTGCCACGTCACAAATTGTGACATCATCACAATGTAGATTTTAAACCCGGAAGATGAAAATAGCGCAAAAAAGCTTAAAATTAACCAGTTTTCTCCAACAGTTAAAATTATGGGATGCTAACATTGTCTTCTATGATGTGTAACACAAACACCTCTGCTAAAATCTCAGAAAGAGTAGTCTGGGGTTTCATGACCCTTTAAGAGCTATATATATAGCCTATATAAAATTAAATCGTATTATATTTATTATATTATAATAATGTAATATTAATTGAACATATGTGTCTTATATTACATTTACATTTAGTCATTTGGTCATATTATATTGCTGTTGCTGCAGTTTTATAAAAACAATCCGAGGCAATGTGTTACAGTGATTACACACGGTAAAATGAACAATGACTGTAATGCGCAGCCTCTCATGACTTACTGCTTGAATATCCATCACTTTGGAGTCACGGTTTATTTAGTCATTGAAGCATGAGCCACTTGTAGATTAGTGTGTGTTCTCTGTAGGTGACAGAACGAGAGGTCAAAGACTTTTCGAAACCACCAATATCCGAACAAGGTGTCATCCTCAACTCAGCCATTGACATCCCAAAACGCAAAGACAAAGAGGATCTGACCGAGAGCTCAGAAGTATGACTTTTCTCTTTTAATAATTTCAAGTCTCTTTTAAATGCTATATGTCTTTATCCTTTTAAAATATTTTTGCACGGTATTATATCAGGGTTGCGGCTTATTTTAAGTTCAAAACACATACAGTAAGGGATTTCCAAAGTCAATAGTTTTAAAACAGAAGGATGAGAGTGTGTAATGAAATTCAGGCAGTAGTTTCTTTGTTTTTGAAGGCCTGGTATTTGCATCCTCGGTGTCTGAGTCAGTTCGGTTACGTGTATAGAGAGTGTTTGTTAAAGGTTAGCTGAACCTGCGGAGATAAAATACACAAAGATCAGTGCAAATGTTTCATCTCTCACAGCCAGCAACCCCACTCCCCAACCGCCAGAGCTGCAGTGTTGTTTAGTACACAGAAAAACGACCAAGTCATTAACTTTGCTTATGAATATTAGAGAGAGCTGGGGCAATTAGTAGTGAATGTCACAGTAACCTTGTAGTATGCTTCATTTTTTAGTAACTCGCTTTTAAAATATCCTACAATCATTTATTTACTAGAAATCTAGACCTGCAGTGTTTTACTTCAGTTTTATATCCTGTAGCACTACTCCGAAAACAGCTGGAAATCTTTTAGTAAACAGAAATAAAGGTCAGCGTGAAATGTCAAGAACACTCAGAGGATCCATTAAAGGTTCCTATATGAAAATAGTAATTGAATTCAGGAATGCTAAGATGATTTGAGTAAACTATAATAAATCTCAAGGAATTATGCAAACACAGCTACATTCATAATTCATTCATTGATGCCAGGCTTTTCTATGCTTGCAGTAGCTGTTTGTTTAGAATAGCATACAAGTGCATGGTGTATTGTGTCCATCGCAGCTTGGCCTCACACTGTTTCCCGCCATGGTCTCAGAGACCCCCCGGCCAAACTGTGGAGCTACAAATATTCCTAATATTATCAGGGTTATCGGGACCTCGGCCGTACCAGTGCCATAAACCTCATGTATCTTACACATTCTTTTCTTTCTAGACCATGAGAATCCATTTTTGTTTGTTTGTTTGTATATATGTATGTATGTTTGTTTTGCTTAGATTTCTTTACATCGCGTCGTTCCCAAGCCGCAACAGCCAGAGAATACAAGCCTGGCCGTTACTTCCTCTTCCTGTTTCTGCCTCATAGTAAGTGGCTGAGAGACAAGACAGCAGAAAATCAGTTGAACATATGGGGTGGCTCATTTCAACTGCCTTCAAAGCAAATTCAATTATTTTTTTCAGACACCCCCATTGTGGGTGAAACATTTGTTAAATACTTGCGTGGGTTTGTTTCCCATAATGAAGTAATGAAGTCAGTGTTCAAATTACAGGGGGGCTAGACGGAACCGAGACCCCCAAGTTATCGTCATAGTCCCCCAGATATCCCGAAACTCGGGGTAAGGGGAGACTGTCCAGCAGCCTTGAAGTGTCATGTAAATTTCTTATTACAACAAGAGATTGCTGTCTCTATGACATTTCAAATAAATATTCTAATTTAAAATAGATTAATAAATATTAAACAATAAATAAGCAGAAATATTATAAAAGCAAAAATTAGTATTCATAAATCTAAAATATAACTACTCGCAATGCTTTGTCAGCAGAACATGCTGTGGGGGGAAAAATGCCAGTTACCACAGTTAGCCCTTTATTTCTGTGATTCTATAGATTTTGTTATTTTTTGAAAGCAAACAACATTTTTTGTCCTGTAGGGGAATTTTTTTTTCTGTCTCTTACAATCAAATGCGCAAAGGCTGCATTCGTTTAATCTAAAATACAGTAAGGCAGCACTATTTTGAAATATTTAAAACAATATAAAATAACTAATATAAAATAAAAAAAATTAACAAATGATTTTAGCAAATGGCTGCAATATAACAAAGAGTGAAAAATTGAAGGGGGTCTGAATACTTTCCGTACCCACTGTATTTAAAAATGCTGTTTTTTCTCGTGATGACAAAGCTACATTTCCAGCAGCCATTACTTCAGTCTTCATTGCCACATGGTTCTTCAGAAATCATTCTAATATGCTGATTTGGTGTTCAAAAAAAAAATTTTTTTATTATTATCACTGTTGAAAACAGTTGTGCTGCTTAATTTTATATTTTTTTTCAGGATTCTTTGATGAATGCTGCTGTTCAAAACAACAGCATTTATTTTAAAATATTTATTGAAATATTTTGCAACATTATACATTTACTTTATAAAAGATATATAATAATATGTAATATTTTTTTTTTATAAAAAAATGTTTTCTAAAAGTTTAGCTGCCACTTTTTTGGTCAACATAATGTATCCTTTCTGAAAAAAAAATATTAATAATATAAAAAAAAAATCTGACTGAATCCAAATATGGAATGGCAGTGTATTAGAGCTCTTTTATTCCAAATATTGGGCTCCCCAAAATCTTTGGTATTATTCGAACACTGCACAACATGCATCAAATGGCCCCCATGCTGAATTTTGTTCACAATTCATTTAATACAAGTATGAAACCCATTAGCCTGCCGCATCAATTTAAACAGTCACATTTCTTTTGACCTGTTGTGAGGGAGCAATGCAGAAAAAAGACAAGATGAAAGGCAGAGAAGGGGAGAGGCGGCTGTTCTGAGAGAATCTTCTGATATGTGACTTTCCTCTTGCTCTGCTGCCGGTTGTGTGAGCCAGCCTGCTGATGTACAGTCAGGCCTGAGAGGTGTGAGTTTTGCCATAGACAGCTGTGAGAGAGCTGGAAGCAACTGATTTGCTCCTGGGGGATTTGACCAGACAAGCCAGGATAAGGCCTGTGAATCATAACAGTCTATATATTACTAATGATGAATCTCAACTTGATGTTGAGGTGTGAGATCACACTCTGTTACTTCTAATATATTTCTCAGCTTCTGCTTTGTCATTTTGGGCCAGTGTTTGCATTTTAGAATCATGAAACGGTCACTGTAATATAAAAATGGAATTGTTTAAGCATATTCAAATTAATGACTCATTTCACTATACTGCAAAAGCTTGACAGAATCTAAATACTAGCTACATTAATGTGTTTTTGCAGCGGTATTTCATGTTTTAGTTTACTGATCCTTTTTAAAAAAAAATTTAAACTGGAATCTCTTAACTTTATGCTGTCATGTGTCTTAATGCCTAATAGAGTTTTATATAATATGCGATTAGGCAAACATTTTCATATAGCCAAAATGTTTGCAGTTAGTACAGCAACAGTTTTCAATATAATTGGATGTTGCTTTGCATTTATTGACATTGTGACCATAAAATTGGATTATAAATGTCATTTAGTATAAGTTTTAGTATAAACAATTTGTGTTGCTCGATCTTGTTTTTTAAAATAAAAGATTGTAATTTGATTGCAGGGAAACCACACCCCACTCCCCTTGTGTTTTTCATTCCTTTATATTATTAGTTCACTGCGAATTTGACACTTGTGTTTCCAGGACTCCATGGGAGGCTCCCCTAATGATATCCGAATTTCTGACATGCGGCCGACTTTGGTAGAGCCAGCAATGTACAAACCAAAGGTTGTGTTACTGGGCAAGGAAAAAAAAGGTTGGTAAGACAAAGAAGCCTGTATAAGTTACAAAGTCAGCATGAAATCTATTTTTTAAAAGAATGTTGTTAATCTTATTGTGAGCAATTCATTCTTTGACCTCATTTATTAATTTTTTTTAATATCATAACTTGATCTTCCAGTGAAATGGTCTCTTTGGTGACGTATTCCAGATTTCTCCAATTATTTAGTCTGCTAAAACTCCTTACAATTGGCTGCAAACACACATTCATATCTGCCTGCATCCAATCAACAACTAATAGATAAAATCAAGTCCTTGGCCTACATTTTTTTTTTAGTAATCTGTTTCACTCAGATGTGTCACAATACAGAAGAAATGACTTGCAGCTTCTTCCGTTTCATCACGACATTAAACTCACAATTTTTTCCCCTCATTCTCTTTTGATGTTTATTAATAAAGTTATTTTATTAAGAAATCCTTCTGCAAATCCTAAAATGCATTGTGTGATTGCACTGGAGAATACTGGAAATCACAGTTGTTGTGAGAAGCATAATAATTGGGGTTTATTTTAAACAAAAATACAGTCATTTTTCATGCATATAAACTATTTTACCTTGTATGCCTATTATCTTTTTTTTTAATGCATTCAGAGTCCACCGATGAGTCTGAGCCAGACAAAATGCATTGTTTGAACAACAGCGGATCATCTGCCACTTATTCAGACTACTCACCCTCCCAGGGATCATCTGGCTCCTCCAACCCACCTGGAAATGTCAGTAATCTGCAAACATCTGGGAAAGAGGGGCCATCACAGACTCACTGGACCAACAGGTTGGCAAGAATTTAATCACTGCCACTATTCATTTATATGAACTAACAGACCATCTGTGCGCTCATATGACATGACAGTTGATCAAACAGTTTAGATATCCAGCTCACTGACTTTTGGGTGGCCCAAAACTGACATTGCGTCACTGGAATAATCTTGCAATAATCATCTCTGGCAATAATCCAAATTTATTCAAGCCATCCGTTGCATATTGTTTTCATTAACTGGCAATATTCATGAAACACAGCACTGCATTTAATATTTGGTGTTCAGTGCTATACAGGAGGTTGCAAATCTGTGCCTTTGTAGGGGTGTCTCTTATTTGCCCTTTTATGAGATTGAAGGTTTTCATTTTAAATTTCATATTTCTGTCCATTTTAATTAACAAGAAAATTGACGGTTCTAAGTGAGCCTTATCTGGGCGTTTGTTTCTTTTAACCCTCTGGGGTCTGAGGGTGTTTTTGGGTGTTATTGCGCACATCACAATTTCTCTTTCGCTCAAAGTCACGCACAGCAGTATGCCTCGCTCTTGCTGTCATCTTGAGTAAAGTGCAGCTGAAAATCCATCTCTGTTGATTTCAATAAAAGTTTTATAATATTAGTACTGCTGAAAAACTTCAAATTATCACTCCTATCACTGCCTGTTCTTCAGAAGAGCTCTTTGAGAGATTTCTGTTTTGATAACCTTGCAGAAGTATTACATAGGCAAAATTTTATAAACATTGAAAATCTATTTGATGAGGATGGCAGTCAACCACAGCTATATATTTTTTTTTAATTTAAACGTAAATTAGACTATATTAAAAGAATTGTAGGCCCAGTTAAATTTCATTTTCAATATTTCATCTCCAACATTACATGAAGACATCAAGTAGAAAGATTTTGCGAGCATCAGCTAAAATAAAGCAAAATACACAGAGCAACGAGGTTCTGTCGGGGTAGTGATAACCTAATAAAATTGGGCTGTACTCAGATGTTGCAGATTCAGTCCCAAGAAGGAATGAACAAGGAATTAGACATTTGCTAAGACTGCAGTGCTTTACTTGTAAAGTATGCACGTAAAGTCAATTTTTTATATTATAAGAGGCTTATTGACCTTGACTTGAGGGTCTACAGGGGCTTCCGGTTGTTCTTTTAAATGCACCACACTGAATATGTATATATAAACGAATCATAGAAGTCGTGTGTTCAAGTCATTGCATTTATGAATTATATTTAATGTTTTTTTTTATCAATTCATATATACATTAGAATTGTATGATACTGAATATGCTTGTCATATCAGCCCCTGGCCATACACATTTTTTTCTATGTGCACTGATAAAATCTCAAATGTATTTTGTCTGAATACTTCAACAGGCTGGCTCAGTCTTTTCCAAAGCCCATTGAAAGTAAGCCCCTTCTGAGCCAGAGGGAAACACCTCCTTCCAGCACGCTGCAGCAACGAGGTGAGAGGCGGCCACTGAGCGACACCTTCGACAGCTGGAACGATGCCCCCCACTACGATAACACAGGTTTTGTTGCAGAGGAGACGTCTCTTGACACTCCGAGCAGCAGCGCTGGAAACCCCATGCTAGGCTCAAAGCCCCGGAGTGCCTCAATGGCACATGGCCGGCGGCCTCTCATGAGACAAGAGCGCATTGTGGGAGTTCCTCTAGAGCTCGATCAGTCGCAACTCACTTTCCACACTGTTCGCACCACCCCTGAAACTGAAGTGCCTCCTCCCTCTAACCCCTGGCAGAACTGGACGAGGACTCCCAGTCCCTTCGAGGACAGGACAGCTTTCCCTTCCAAATTGGAAATTACTCCAGCCAACAGCCCCAATCCTGATCGTAAGGACTTCGAACAGGAGATGGGGGAACTACCCGGCACTTTTCCCTCAACTAGAGCCTGGGGGTATCTGGACTCTACGGACTCAGGGATGGGAAGAGGTCATCCCAACATTTCTGCGCATGTCCAGGGTGTAAAAGAACTGAACAAAGTAGGCACTTTGGTTGTTAGCAAGAGTTCTGAAAGACTTTCGCCAATGATGAAGGAGGTAAAAGTGAAATTTAAGAAATCTCAGAGCATAGATGAAATCGATATGGGGTCGTACAAGGTTTACAGCATCCCCTTAGACAGCTACAGCTCTAGCATAGAAAACCAGGGAAGTGTTGATAGAGCGGACCTCCATGTACCTCTAGAACAGAGCATGTCCAGGAGCCAATCTGCTCCAATGCTGGACGATGATCTGGATGGCTTTGGTTCGAAAAGCTCTCAGCAACAGAAGCCTGCCATCCCAAAGAAAGTTTACCATTTTGACCAAAGCTTCAACCCACAAAGAGCCATGGATATTATGAAATCGGAGAGGAGAGTTCCTCCACCATTCCCCAATGCCCCGGAATATGTAAACCAACCTGGGAAGACGTTGGCAAAGGAACTTGTGAGCCCAAGAGGCTACCGAGGCTATCCACCGATGGAACAGATGTTTTCATTTGCTCAGACTGCAGTCACAGATGATGCCATCAATCCACAGCTCTCGGTCCAGCCCCAGCGCTCCAGGCCGGGCTTCCTGAGGCGCGCTGACTCTCTGGTAAGTTCGACAGAGATGGCGCTGTTCCGCAGAGTAGCTGAGAACCAAGAACTGCAGCTGGCAGAGCACTACAACAGGTCTCAACAGAGCATGCTGGAACAACAGAACAGCTTGGCTACCATCACTGACACCCAGTTCCACAAGAGGAATGGTAGGTATGACGAAGATTACTCGTCTTATCAAGAACCCACAAAGCCCATCATGGGTTACCCCACCAAGAGTCTGACACAACGTCGCCCCCTGTCTGCACGGAGCTACAGCACAGAGACATATGGGGCATCTCAGGCAAGGCCAGTGTCTGCCCGACCCACCATGGCTGCACTGCTGGAGAAATTGCCTTCAGATTACAATCTTAGTACATGCACTGAGAAGAGCCCTGAAGCTGACATGAAGATGAGGCCTGTCCCTCAAAAACAAGAGGACCCGACCTCCAAAATGCCAGTAGATTGGAGACAGCAGCTGCTTAGACACATTGAAGCAAAGAGGCTAGACCGGGTGAGTAAGCAAGCTTTGCTTTTTGTTCTTCTACGTACTGTAAGTGTTTGTTAGCTTGCAGCTCATGAAAAATGGGGGCAAAAACAAAAGTGTTGCGTTTATAATTTTGTTCAGTGTACAGTATATAACCTCTCAACATTTTCAAGAAATAAATTAAACCATTATTTGGTTCTTTTATTCTGTCTTTATTTAGTCTTATATAATTGTTGAGGTCTCAATAACCAATGTTTTCAATGTTTTATATAATATGTTTGGAGTACACAAAACTTAAATGAAGGCTTTTTAGACACATGAACAGTGGGGTGAATCTCATGTGAACTATCAAGAAATGTCTGGGACATATTTCACCCCAAAATCAAAAGAAAATAAAAGAAAATTATATTCTGCCTAAAAAAATGAAGCTTTTTCTTAGGACCAATACAGTTTTTTTATTTATGATTATTTTCATAAAATGTTGGCATTGTTTTCATAAAATGTAATCAAACTGCCCCCTTTCTCAAAAAACATTATATTTAAGAGTAAAAAATAGTATTTTTTCACATTATGATAATGAGGGTTTTTTCCACATCAAAGTAATTTTTCTAACTTTTACGGTAATGATAATTATGAAGGAAAATTCATTGGCCCGAAAATAATAGTCACAATGCCAGAAATCCTCAAATTTCTTCAAATTCTTTCCGCAAAATATAATTTTTTCTCTTTTTTTCTTTTAAATTGGGGTGGAATTTGACCCTGACATTTCTTTCCTGAGATTCACCCAGTTACATGCCTTTGTTTCTGTGTAAGTGGATTACAGTACTACAGCACACTTCATTGTTCATGCAATTTAGTCCTACACTGCTGCTATTAATATTCTGTAAACGTAACCGCTGTGTATCACTAATGTGTCACATGGGCAGTAATGACGTTCTGTTGTTGTTCTGTTTGTCAAGCTTACTCACTCTGTTACAGCAATGTGCAGTCCAGTGTATCCCCAGCCACAGCCTTTTGACCTTTCTGTGTGGCACACCCATTCACTCATGTCATGTGGTTGTTTCCCTCCAATCAGAGCGCTGTCCTTAAGCACAACACAGTAAACTTCGGCATGCTGTACTCTGGAGGCTATGCTGCACCGCATGCCAGCAGAAGCATGACAATAAACTTTTACAATAACACAAAGCATGAAAACCAAACAACTCAGTGGCTACCTCTACCAAATGTGAGTATGAAGTAACTTCAGCCCCAGTTTCAGCATGAAGAAGTAAAACGTATATGAACATAACATCTCCTATGAAGATTTCTTTTTAGATCTCTCTTTTGAGCGGCTTCTGCTTTAACGTCTAAAACAGTGGTAATATAACATATACACTACAATAGCCTTTTTATAAGGCAGACCATCTAACACATTTCACAGTTTAACACTAATCTAACACTTCACCTGTTCTGAGTTCCAGGCTAGACACTGTCTCTCACTGTGATGTTAAACATATATAGGTGTTTTCTGTTGCATGTGCTCAGTCTTTGTGTTTGGTCTATGCACTGCAGTCTTCCTCTGTCTTGAACTCACAGAACAAAGCAATCTGTGACCGACAGTAGAGATGCGTTTATGAAAGGCCTTCTTGATCCTTTTAAAATTACACCAAATATCAAATTTAATCACTCATATTTAAACAGTCAGAAGTGAATTCACTAAATATTATTCTTAATATCTGTGTGCACAGTTCACCAACCTCTATTTACTCTATTCAGTATTTGTAATTTCTTTTAATGCAAACATGCTTTTTTGTAAATAAGTTTCAATTAGTTTAGTTAAATTAATTAGTTATAGTTTTATAGTTTTTAAGTGTTTTTTCTTCAAATAAGCTCAATATTTCTTTGATGCAATTAACGGCAATGAATATTTAAACAGATTTTGTGTAGAATTGTTATCATATTTCTTCATCAAATAATGATCACATATTGGAAGATCGTTTTAACTAGACATATATGCAGATATACTGTGTAGTTAAGCATTATTTCAGCTTTTTAAAGTTTCTGAATTGCAATGGTTGTGTAATTGGGTCAATTACAGTGGGCTGTGCTTGTTGAATAAAGTTATTCGAACAAACTCTAAGTAGGTTTAGAGTTGACAAAACCAAAAAAATAAAAAACCCACCTGGTTTAGATCAAGTTCAGCGGGCTCAAAATACTTGCTAAAAATGTTTTCTGTCAACTCAGGGATTGTCCAGAGTTTATCAATTCTGGGGAGTTAATTAAGTTTAAGAGATTGTTGTGAAAAAATTTTTGAATTTAAATGCATTTATAAGACTGAAAGAAATTCCACTGCCACGAAAGTTTGAGAGGACAGCTTAAAGAAAATATTTGAATGTATCAATGGAAGTGAATCAACTGAATTTATTCCATAAAAAGATTAAAAGAAAACACACAAGCTTAGTCATTTTAAAAGCTTTATTCATTCTAATGTTTTTACTTATGTTAAATTATATTAAAAGTTTAATATTTATTGTCAAAATCTAATTGTTTTTGCATAATGCATTAAGGATATAATATAAATAATATATAATTTATATAAAATAACTAATAAATAATTAGCCGTTTAGTGTTACCATTGCAATGAACAATGCTAAAAGCCAGTTCACCTTCTTGAGCGCCGAAAAAACTTCAGTGGTATAGTCACTGAAACCAGATTTGTGCAACAGGCCTAGAACCGACTCGCAAAATTGGTAATTTTACCATGCAAAATGCCTTTTCATTTTGCAAAAGCAGTGTCATTCTAGAGCACCGTCTTGAATTCTGCTTGCTGACAGCACTATATCCTTTCAGACACCTTCACAACAGAGCAATATTTTAGATAATGGACAAGAGGTGGTTTCTCCAAGTAGCCAGTGGGCCCCGTATTCACTGGGACGAAGAGACGTGCCTCCAGAGAACATGAATGTCATCAAAAAGGTATTGATTATGATCAATTCTGTTTTCGATACAGGATGTACTAAGGCTGGGCGGTAAATTGAATATATTCATGATAATTGTAAATATTAAAACACTGTAAAGATTAAAACATTTTAATATATGTTTTTATTTGGCCATCAAGTTTCCTAAAGACTGCATCATCATTTTTATTTCAGTGAATCGATTCATAATTTATTCTGTGATTTACTCAAAAATTATCACTGAAGTGTAAGTTTGATGTATTTCTTGTGTTAAATTGTTCTAGTAAAAATAAATAAATAATAATAAAAAAATGGGGCCTGTAAAATATTTTTAAAAAGATAATACTTCTATTCAGCAAATTGATCAATTATTTTCTTTTTTTTGTAACTTTTTATATATAATATTAAGCAGCACAATTATCTTCAACACTTATATAAAAATGCTTTTTAAATCAGTTAATTAGAATAATTTCTGATTCAGCTTTGCCAGGGATTAATTACATTGTAATATATATATATATTACCTGTCATGTTCTACTCTTTAGTTTCCTCTGGCTTAACCTGTTCTCTGTGAGATAGACATCTCTGTTATATCGTGATTGCCATGTTAATTTTTTCAAATGCCAGGGTTAATTACTACCTGCTGTCGTGATTCATTTCACAACGCATGTTCTCGCTCGGTCTCCTTAGCAACCTCAGTCTATCGGTGAATGTCTTTAGGTTGTCACTCAGTATTGTGGAACATTTTGCTTCTGCTGACACATTTAGTGTTATGAAGAAAAGTCGAATTAAATTAATACATCAAATAGGGAAATCAAAATGTCAAAAGGTCCTGTGTAACTAATACATGTCTTTGTGCCTGTAATGATATGAAGGTTTGCCGTCTGTATGAAGTCTACAGTGCATCATTAAAGGTTTGCTTAATGTTTGCCCACAGCCTGGTGTTCACAATCATCATCAACAACAGACTATGATGATAACCTCAGCCAACCCTCCCCACCGGACGGCCCGTGACCAGCAGTATGAGGGGGCCATCAACAAGGTGTCCATCCAGCAGTACCAGTCACCTCTGCCCATGCCCATCACCACCACCAGCCCCCGGCCTCAGAGTGCCCGCTGCTTCATCCAGACTAAAGGCCAGAAGAGTATGGATGGCTTTCCAGAGCAGGTACAGGTCATCTCTCAGAATAAATTCAAATAAAATGGCAAGAAATGGACAGTTGCAAATGGATGCAAGAAAGAAGACCAACTGAACCTTCGCAAAGACCCGCCCCATTAGTTACTTTTGCTATGTCCGACATGTATGGCCACGGGTCTGAAATTATCGGGGGCTTGGGGCAAAAATGCCACCAAACTGGACAAATATGCCCCTGTACAATTAAAATATATTAAGGATGTCACGAATAAAATGAAAACGAAATGAAAAGTGTCAATTGCGGCATTAAATTTAGATCTGCTAATGATGCATCAAATTATGCGTTTTTACAGCGTTCTGCATTATAACAAATCACACATGATTCTGTTGAGCTTATGAATGCAATGGCCAATCAGAGGCATTCAGATGAGTCATCGCTGAAACACCGAGATCTGTTGAGCGCACGCACGCTGACTGAATTCTAAACTCTCGCGAATTCTCTCATCATAAACAACAAAGTGGAAATGTACTTGCGTACGATGTAAGAGATTCATTTGACATTGTAGGCAGCTTTATTGATAATAACGGGGGAGTTTTTTGAGTGTGCTTAAACTCACGCTATACTGAAGTCAGTCATGTTCTTTGCTTGCTTTTTGTATATAGGCCCTAATTTATGTGCTGTTTGAATAAATGTGGAAATTAAAGTGTTAGAATTAGTAACTTACAATGGTTTTATTAAATGATGATCACGTTATATACAAATTCAGTCGTATTATACTGTAATATTTTTTATGTAATATTTTGTGACATGACACCCATATCTGGTACTTATGGAAGCCTTTTTCTGCCACTGAATTAAAAAAAAATGTAATAGTCAGAATTAGCTACGAGATATAAACTCTCAATTGCGAGAAAGAGTAAAAATTGTGAGATGAAAAAGTTGCCATTACCATGTTGTATTTGTATTTAGTGGGTACGTCCCATATGTGCTTGCCTAAAAGACATTTACATTTAGTCATTTAGAAGACGCTTTTATCCAAAGCGACTTACAAATGAGGACAATGGAAGCAATCCAAATCAACAAAAGAGCAATGATATACAAGTGCTATAACAATTCTCAGTTAGCTTAACGCAGTACACGCAGCAAGTTTTTTTTTAAATTATATACTAAATAAAAAGAAAACAGATAGAATACAAAAAGATGAGGAGCTAGTGTTATTTTTTTTTTTTTAAAGAAAACAAGCAGTTAGTAAATGAACAGAGTGCAAGTCTAAAAGGGGCAAGTTTTTCTTTTAAAGAATAGAATTAGAATAGAGATTGCTAGAGTTAGAGGGTCAAATAAATACGGAAGAGATGTGTTTTTAGCCGATTCTTGAAGATGGCTAAGGACTCAGCTGCTCGGATCGAGTTGGGCAGGTAATTTCACCAGGAGGGAACATTTAATGTAAAAGTCAGTGAAAGTGATTTTGTGCCTCTTTGGGATGGTGCGCAGCGCATGCTGGAGCACTTGAGAGATGCTCTGGATGAAAGCACATTCACTCTATGACAGCAGATGGCGCTGAACAGCAGAAATGCAGCCGTTACCTCGCCGTTAAGCAGCTGCACTACTTTCTGTTTCTGAAAGGTGTTTAAATTATTTAAACAGCCATTCAGATTTGTGTATTC